GTCCAACCCGTTACCAGCGTGGTGTACCTAATAAAGTGGCCGGTGAGTGTATATATATATATATATATAAAGAGGGCAACAACGCCAAATTCTGACAGACGTGCGACAGTTAATACAGCGTGATGTGACTGGGTGTTCCACAGATAGCCCGTCACAGTCTGARGGGCAGTGTGCAAAGTAAACAGTATTATTACCATGGGTTTTTCTTTTTCACAAACTTATCCCCATTAATCTTCTGCAGGCAGCTTAAAACCCACAAGTAGAAACCAAAAGAAAGTACAAAGAAACAACTTTGCGTTTATCTCGCAAGTTTGCATTTGCTGTCTTTTTCTATTTGTCCTATCAGTTAAGAAGATTTTTTTTTTGCTTTGGAAAGCACAGTGTGAGTCTGCATTTTCTCACACAACCACATCTCCACCAGATGACCTTTAGTCGTGCGCCTCAATGAGAACTGTAGGCAGAAACATGCCAAATCGTCTTTCCAGAGAGGAAGACACGCTCTGCCTGAAGACCCCAGTTTACCAGACCTCAAAGGTACAAGAGAGTCCAGTTTTCAGGTCACATTGCTTCACAAAGTTTTTTATCAATGTAACTTGTAGCAAAACGTGTTAATGAAAAGATACAGAATACTGAAAGTGCGTAGACTCCCCCTGGAGTTTTTCAAGTGTGGAAACAACTGAGAATTAAATATTTGTGACCSATCATATCAAAATGAGGATTAAGTCAAATTTTGTCAAAATTACCTAATTACATTTTCAGATTCCTGGCTTTAAAAGTTGCATTTTGATACCTGAATCATTCTGATAACTTAAGCTTATCCAGACTTAATTTGTCTTGCTGGTTATGATAACACATTTCTGTTTGGTCTGAATCCTAATTTTATGTAAATTTATTGAGTAATTTTTTTATGTCAATATAAAGAGGAAACCTCAAATAGTATTTGTACAGTATATTAAGATTTCACAGTTGGAAAAAAACAAAAACATTGCTAGCTCACAGGGAAAAATTCAAAAGTTTAAAGCGATTTCCCTCAAA